AGTCGGGCGGCAGGGAGCGAGTGCACTGTTCCTGGCGGGAAGCTGAAATTTCAAATGTCCTGCCGCGGGCCGGGGTTTCGAAAGCCTGGTCAGTGCCCTGGGCCGCTCCGGGAGATTGAGGCCAGGCCTCTGGAGAAGGGGCTGCTTTGTGGGCCCCGGAGCTGCCCTGGGCTGACTACAACAGTGCACTTGGGCGTGTTCCGGGAGGGTGTCTGTGTGGGGCGCCCCACAGGGCCGTGTTCCGGGAGGGTGTCTGTGTGGGGCGCCCCACAGGGCCGTGTTCCGGGAGGGTGTCTGTGTGGGGCGCCCCACAGGGCCGTGTTCCGGGAGGGTGTCTGTGTGGGGCGCCCCACAGGGCCGTGTTCCGGGAGGGTGTCTGTGTGGGGCGCCCCACAGGGCCGTGTTCCGGGAGGGTGTCTGTGTGGGGCGCCCCACAGGGCCGTGTTCCGGGAGGGTGTCTGTGTGGGGCGCCCCACAGGGCCGTGTTCCGGGAGGGTGTCTGTGTGGGGCGCCCCACAGGGCCGTGTTCCGGGAGGGTGTCTGTGTGGGGCGCCCCACAGGGCCGTGTTCCGGGAGGGTGTCTGTGTGGGGCGCCCCACAGGGCCGTGTTCCGGGAGGGTGTCTGTGTGGGGCGCCCCACAGGGCCGTGTTCCGGGAGGGTGTCTGTGTGGGGCGCCCCACAGGGCCGTGTTCCGGGAGGGTGTCTGTGTGGGGCGCCCCACAGGGCCGTGTTCCGGGAGGGTGTCTGTGTGGGGCGCCCCACAGGGCCGTGTTCCGGGAGGGTGTCTGTGTGGGGCGCCCCACAGGGCCGTGTTCCGGGAGGGTGTCTGTGTGGGGCGCCCCACAGGGCCGTGTTCCGGGAGGGTGTCTGTGTGGGGCGCCCCACAGGGCCGTGTTCCGGGAGGGTGTCTGTGTGGGGCGCCCCACAGGGCCGTGTTCCGGGAGGGTGTCTGTGTGGGGCGCCCCACAGGGCCGTGTTCCGGGAGGGTGTCTGTGTGGGGCGCCCCACAGGGCTTCTGGGGGCGCGTGTGTCTGTGTGGGGCGCCCCACAGGGCCGTGTTCCGGGAGGGTGTCTGTGTGGGGCGCCCCACAGGGCCGTGTTCCGGGAGGGGGTCTGTGGGGCGCCCCACAGGGCTGTGTTCTGGGGGCGCGTGTGTCTGTGTGGGGCGCCCCACAGGGCCGTGTTCCGGGAGGATGTCTGTGTGGGGCGCCCCACAGGGCCGTGTTCCGGGAGGGTGTCTGTGGGGCGCCCCACAGGGCTGTGTTCTGGGGGCGCGTGTGTCTGTGTGGGGCGCCCCACAGGGCCGTGTTCCGGGAGGATGTCTGTGTGGGGCGCCCCACAGGGCCGTGTTCCGGGAGGGTTGGCTCCCCTGTTGGGGGGAGAGTCTCGCCCCCGGCCTCAGGCCTGGCATTTCTCATCTCCTCAGCCTGGGGGTCGGGGGCCACGGCGGCTGAGAAGGGGGTGGGGACCTGGCCCGGCGGG